GGAGGAGTACGAGTAGGAGTAGTAGTAGTAGTCGTCGTCGTCGTAGTCGTAGTCGTCGTCGTCGTCGTAGTCGTAGTCGTAGTCGTCGTCGTCGTCGCCGTCGTCGTCGAAGCAGCCGCAGCATTAGCAGCAGCATCGCTGAAATCACAGCGGCAGCACCAGCAGTAGGGGGAAGAAGTAGCAGCAGTATCACGGGGTGCTGCACTTGCAGAACCAATAGCAGCAACGCAGCCGCAGCAGTGCAGTACAGTGGCAGCGACGGAAGTGCTGTAGTAGCAGGACGAGCAGGAGGAATTGTTTGAGGTTGTCATGGTGTTTTCCAGCAATATCGCCCTGACTGACGTGAGGCCTATTCCGGGCATGGTACCAACCAGGAGAATGAGGAGGAACAGGCCAGGACGGGGCACAGAAACACCCACTGGGCCCAGCGAATACAACCCATACAGCCCATGCTTGCAAAAGTCACCACTCCAAATCATTAGGTAGAACGGTAGAACCTCCCCTCGACGCTGGGAAACCCACGCCCAGCAGCTCATCTCTACTCAGCATACTCATTGCTTGCAGCGCTCGTAGGAGATTCCCCAAGACCCGAGCTTCAGCATCCTACCGGAAAACGATGTCCTGTTGCGGGCTTCGTGGAGGGTGATGCGCAGCTCTTCACGCTGCTTACCAGAGTTTGGCCGGCATGTACACAGCTTGCATGCAACGACCGTAGGGCAGCAAAGCCCCCCAGAAGACCGTTTGGGGAGCCCCGCGAGCCTAGAGCTTGGTACTTGTACGGTCAGAGAGAGCGCCTTAGAAGGATGGTCTTGACAGTATCCTCTGCCTCCGCACTCGCGATGGAGAGGCGGGTGTGAGCGTGCAGGCTTCAAGGCATCTTTGGAGCGCTCTTTCAGCTGTGGCAATGAGGGTTTGGGGCTGGCAGGAAGGGTGGAATCTCCACGGCTCGGTGTGCGCATGCTTTAGGCAAAGCGGAAGAACGCAAGCCGTTGCCCAGCAAGCCGCCAAGCCAGAATGACGACATGGTCGATGACGAGCTGGCGAAGCTGATTGCTGAAGCTTTCGCAGCTGGACTCAAGTTTTATTCAAGGCCTGCGTTCGACGGAAGTAGCGTACGTCCGTGCAAGAGAAAGCCTTCACTTCTCCCAGCTGCTCGAACACATGGTTTGGATCGGATCGCACAGCTCCTGCTTTCCGTGTTCAGCTTGGGGAGCTTATGCTCCAAGTCGCTGTTGCATCCACATCCAGCCCCGAATTCACCAGTGCAGTGATGTGCAGTGCATTTAGGACCCTGCCGTCACGGTCCTCGTCCTGGCAGACGCATGCACGAGCCTCACATCAGGATCAGGGCCCGTCATCGAATGCTTGCCCAACAACAGCTTCACTCGACGAGACAGATGTGAGGCAACAGCGCAGGGGTTCTTGACTGCGACACACCCGGCATCTGGGGAAAGCGGCATGTGGTCGTCGCCTGTCACAAGTCTATCAGGAAGCTCCACTCCTCCACAGAGAAACTTTCTTCGCTCAGGCTCTCTCCGGGTGCCAGAACGAGCAATGCTCCACAGACACTGGCAATGGAGGCACCGAGCAGCAAGAAGGGAGAGTCCAATGTGCCGATATGTGCCAATGGGTCTGGGGTCGAGCTCCAAACGAATGTTTCAGCTGTCAGGAACTCGTAACCTTTGCGTAGACTAATTGAAGTCGCCAAGGCGCTTGTCCCAGGGGCATCGCTTTCTCAACTGTCCAAGCATACCTCCGTCATCCTCCGTCTCACCTCATTGAGCCCTTCGATTAGTTGGATCTATTTCCCGAAGCCAAGCTGCATTCCAACTCCTAAGTGTCCCGGAAGGAACACACCCCAAAACCGCTCTCCCCTCTTATCCCTGTGCCTTACTTACATGGGCAGTTCCGAGGCACGCCCGGCAAGTTGGGACCATTAAATCGCTGCAAATTTCTCTGAGCCAGGTGCAATGACTAATGCCCTCTTGTTTCTTGGCTGAACCATGGCTGCATCTTGGAAGACTCGTGGAGCAGTTGAATTCTTGAGGCAAGTGCTTGGCAACAAGAAGATTGCCAAGATGCGGAAGCAAGGAGGTGTTTCCATGCAGTGGCATTCTAAGTTCAGTCTCTTCAGGTTGTTGCAGAGCTCAGCTGTGTCCTGAGGCTTCCATCCCGTGCCTCGAGCTCCAAGGTACATCTTCAACCGCATGGTTGAAGCAATGCCCGAAGACGAGGCCGTGCATGCCACAAACTACAGAACGATTTGCATGAACTCATGGTTGAGGCTGAGGAAGCCTATCGAAACGCAGAGTTGACTTTCGCTGGGGGCGGGAAAGCTTGAATGACATCTCTCTGCAAGGAGGAAGGAGGAGAAGATGATGAAGAGTACGATGAGTACGAAGAGGACCCTCCCCCAAGCTGTGCCACACCGTTCAACAGTCAAGCTGTACAAATCTGGGCTTAGGATTACGACGATGACGAGGAAGACAATTACGAAGAAGACGAGGCAGAGTATTCGTACTTGCATGGTCATGCGTGGAACTGTGTAGCAAGCCGAGTTCTGCTCCACAACAACCCTGGCAGGATGAGGACGTCGACCCCATTAGCGGCTGCTGCCTCGGGAGCTTTCGCCTGTGGTTGTCGGTAACGTGCTAATCTAAAGTAAGTTGTCAGGACGTATGCTTCGAACAGTGGGTTCGTAGCCATCAATGGTGTGGAGGAAGGAATTGATCGCTTCTTACGCATGCGGGTGGGAGAAGAAAACTGCTGGTTGCAGACGCTTGCTCCAGTTGGAGAGACTTTGCAACAGGAAGGGCAAGGATTTCGAGCAGGAGACCTGGATTAATCACAAGGGCAAGTGGGCTGTTTGCTCAGCTACGAAGGCCAATTCGCAAAAGCACACTTGCAAGTAACGCCTTGACCCACATGAGAAGCGGAATCCAATTGCCTTGCGGAAGCCTGGCAAAGGGACTCTAATGAGAGAGGCGTCACTACTGTACTCGCTCACTGTTGGCTAGTGCATGTCTGACAGTCGTACCGTGAGATGCCTGTTGTCTCAGCGCAGGTGAAGTCCCTGAGCCGGGTCAGAACATCAACATATCGTGGCCCGGGGGATGCGATCCAACGAAGATCGCTTTCCCGTTCTAGGTTCTGGGCTTCTAAGCTCGGCAAGCCCGGCAAAGCTTTGGGCCTAGTGTTGTTAACACAAGTTTAACCTCCGAAGAGAGAGATGGTACACAGTGCAATTGCACTGAAGGTGCCTCATGCCGTCTTACGCAGCAGGAACATTGCAACGAGTTTAGGATTTGCTTTTGGCGAGCAGCTTGTGAGGGATGCCCGTTTACAGAGCGCAAGACGGAAGTCCTCTAGCTTGTAGGCCCTGTCGGCAGGCCTCTTTTTGCTAGCCAGTGCGACCGATCGATTTCACTTCACAAGGCAAATGTGTGCACGATAATGCAGGAGGATATCACAGGCACTAGCCTTCACAATATATGTTTCTCTGCGTTTGACTACGTCCAACATCCCTTCGTGCCTGTGGAGCACCTGGGTTGCCTTTGTCGTGCCGTGCATTCCTTGATATGAACCTCAAGCAATGTGATTGCACAGCTCTAGCCCAACCGCGTGACAATTCCTATGGCCGAAATGTCAGACGTCTGAATGCCATCGCTTTGCTTTCAGGAGCGCTCCGGCGAGAATCTGTCAATGTTGGCTCCTGAAGTGGCTGCGAAGCTGCAGCTTTCGCCCTGGGCTGGAGGTTAAGCGAATTCTTGGTTCGGGGCTTGAAGGCCCTAGACAGGCAAATCAGAGAAGAATGGCTGTTCTGAAGCCATGCACTCTGTTAGCCGCCTTCAGAGATGCATGCATCCTTAAGGAGGTTTGGAACGAAAGAGTCGAATTGCGTCGAAGAAGGCTGCGAGCCTTGCTTTTGCGCGGGGCGACGCCCGCCGGCTGCCGTGGGATCCTCTGCGAAGATCTTGTGGGGGGGTTGAGAGGGGCAAAGGGTACTACTACTGCTACAACTGCTACTGCTACTGCTACTGCTACTGCCGCTGCTACTACTACTACTACTACTACTACTACTACCACAAATATGAATATTCCTTTCTGTCCGACAAAAAAAGATTATTCTTTTTCTGGCTTTGCATAGTAGTTGCTTGCGCAAGTTGCTGCTGAAGAAAGACGGTGGTTCTGGAACTGGTGCTGGTGCTAGTGTTTGTGATGCTGGTGGTAGCAGTGTGGTCAGTAGCCGCGTGGCCGCACTGTTCACTTGTGCGTGTGGTGGTGGTAGTGGTGTTACAGCTGGCAAGAGCGATGCTGGTGGTGCTGGTGCTGCTGCTGCTGGTAGTAGCATATCAGTTCTAGCGGTGTGATGCTGGTGGTGACGGTGCTCCTGGCATTGGTACTGCCAACTGTACGAGTTGCAATCCAGTGATTAACTGTGTTGCCCTACCGGCCATGGCATGAGTCTTGAGCAATTGACTTTTACCCAGCATGACATGCCAGTCATGCTCCCTGTTTCGGTACATTCCTGGCTTCCTGTGCTTCTTCGCTGCCTGTTGCCTTTCCAGCAGTTGCACATATTGGGAATAGATTCCGGTGAATGGGTTCATGGCAGCTTAGGCAACATCATAAACGAATCGGGTCTCAGAGGGCCACCCCCCGCAACATCTTCACATTTTGGCATCGCCTGGGTTGTTTCCCGTCGTGTTGAGAGTGGGTCAGATATAGCATGACATGAGCCTCTTGGTGTCGGTCGATGTCTTCTGGGTGTCAGAGTTTGAAGAGGTTCGACTTGGCTGGACTGTTTTTGCATCTTAGACCGTTTCTATTGCTATGACGCTGGCAACGCTGCATGTTTCCATCTGTTAGCCGTTTGGCCACAATCAGTTGAACAGGGATCTCAGCAGAAGGACAAGGCAAATTCTTCCAAACGTTCAGCATACTCGTCAATCAACGACTGAACCCATCCTCCGTGGTATCTGAAAAGTCCGGCAGGAGTGTCGGAGAGCAGAAGTGTGCAAGCATAGACAACTGCACCATACTTTGCCCACGCTGTGTTGCCGATGCGTTGCGGCTATCTGGCATGCATCTTCTTTTTGGGTCTCGGGTCGTTATGGTCATTAAGCAGCCAGCTGACCTCTCTTCGTGGCAGCCAAGCCCTTTCGGTGGTGAAGTTGGGTCCGACCGACATGGCTTTCTTTCATCAGACCAATGCATTGAACAGCCGGGCCAATTTCTCCATCAGAAGTGTTCGAGTAAACTTGCCACATGCCCCGTACTACTTGCTAAGCGATGGTGGGCCTGATTTTTCAGAGGCGGCTGGCGAGCTCAATGTTTCTCCCTTTCGTGCTGAAGGCATGCATTTGTCACAGTCATTCAATCCGAACTTTACCTGCCAAGGGCACCTGCAGAGAATTGCGCAGGCTGCTAGATGGGCCTCCCAGCATGGGGCGGCCTATCTCATGATATGGGAGGATGACACAAGGATGTTGAAGCCGATGCAGACGATTCCCGACGTCGATCTTCTTACTATGGGCAACATTGACAACAAGCACGTAGGATTTTGGAACAGTGATATCCGAGAGAAGTCGATGAAGACACCGACCGAGCAGCTGGCGCCAGCTGACCAAAGGCGTGTCAAGCAGCAAGACAAATTTGCCGCTCGGAAAGGATACTCGGCGGGGCCTGGGAGCGTACTCAGAATCGATCCTTTCTTGAAGGCAGTCGATGCCACTCCTGCGACAGACTTGCGTGACATGTATACGTACACTGAGCAGGACATGTGCTGGGAAGATTTTGCTATCGGCAACGATCTGAGGATAAGGCGAAATCCTGAAGTCCAGCAGGTTACTTGGGCCTTTAACGATGGGGAGTTCGTCGGTCAAACGACGGAACCTGGCAGAAACCTCAGGTGTCTGGAGTGCTTAGACGCTTGCAAGGTAGATTGTGGCTGCACGGAGCGCATTTCCTGGAAAGAGCACTTTTGGTCTGGCCTCGAGGGGCTTCAGGAGTTCGTGTTTGGTGGACATTTCAGCTACCGTACAAGCCTCCTTTGGGGCAGGCCATGTGGGTCTTGCAAGCAGAATTGTTGGACGCCCTGCTCCGCGACGTGTATGTCCACGTGCCCAGCCGTGGTGCATCCGCAAAAGCGGCCCATTCTGGATTGCACATAGAGAGAAGGACCGCGCGGACTCCGAGGGTAAATTGAGGTTATCCAAGACATTTCAACACCGCTTCCAACAGCCGCACGATGCTGCACGGTTGCAAGGGCCTGCAGTGCTTTTCTGCCTGCAGGCTCTCGGGCTCCTCCGTTGACGCTGTGGTCTGCGATTTGCCCTTCGGAAAACAGCTCTCCGGTCGCAAGCTTTCCGTGGCATTTGCTTTGTGGGGTGTCCCGCGGCGTTCAGGTATGGCAGCGAAGCAGGCCAAAGCCTGAGTGAGAGACACCACCAGCGCTGCTTCTCCCTTCGCCGTGTCATCCCAAGCTCTTGAGACTAAGACAACTTGGAGCTCTACCCGGCTGCCGTGGCAGAGTTTTGCCGAGCCGGCTCCCCAAGGTTTTTTTGAGCGTTTCTTGGAGCTGAGCGGAGCCGGAGCGGAGGTGCTGCGTCCAAGCGGCAGGGCTGCCCTGCTCACGAACGAGGCGAGGCTCTAACTCGCGAGACCTTCCGCCTCCCTTCCCGAAGCCAGGCCAATGCTGGACGGCTCGCGGAGGCTCACAGAATGCGAGCGTCGTTTGGGGCGCTAAGGTTATCTTGGTTGAGCACCTCCGAAAAGATCGAAGGAGGATGCTTCTTGCGGCAAGTTGTTTTTGTTTGTGTCGCGTATGTCTTTGTTTTGGTGGTGTCACTTGTGTCTTTTCTATTGCTTGGGAACAGGCTCGAACTAGAGGCGCCCTGTCCAACCTGAAAACATGAACTCCCGGCCCTCTGAAGTGACGTCTCCAGAGTGCCAGATTCTGACGAAAAGCCTACTTACTGCCCCCCTCGGCCACAGCAAACCGGAAGCCGAGGCCAGAATCCAAGATACTGAAAACATTAAGGAGTGAACTCAACCCCAAGCCCTAAACCGGAGACCAAAAACATCCGAAAACCGTAAGCGGCCAACCCAGCCGGAGCCAGGCCAAAACCGTATATCAGTATATCTTTCACCAAAGCTGCTTTTTTCCGGAAGGCAATTGGAAGCCCCTGAGCCCAAACCGGAAGCAAAGAACCCAAGAAGGCCGAACACCCCAAGGAGTCAAGCCAACTCCAGACCCTGCGTAGAAGCTGCACGCCCGAACGAGTGATGATTGAACCCAGGCAAGCGGCAAACCCCAAACCGGAAGCCGATAACCCTGAAACCAACCCACCCCTTCACCCCCAACCGGAAAGGCTGGAGCAAAGAGGGCTTTTGTTCGAGACGGTCGCAACATGCAAACAGATACAGCGACAGCAGAAACAAAGAGACCGGCGACTATCAAAAAAGACACAAGGTGACACCGAGCCCAAGTGACTAACAACCTCCTGAAGCTTCCTGCAGGCCTTGGCTTCAGGACCTTGGCACGTACTGTGCCGGCGAAAGTTGCTGTTAGGCCACATGGAGGCAAGGAGCGTTAGGGTTTTCGCTGGTGAGAGAAGGTCCGGACAAGTAGGTTGTGCCGGGTGGTCCAAAGGTTTGCGTGCGACTCGGATTGTCGACTCTCACAGCACAATCAGGAAGTGTCGCAATCTGTTGGTTACAGAAGAAGTTCAAGTAGCTTCCGACGCCGACACTTCTTTTGTGCGACAATCAAGCACTCGTTGCTGCACGAGTTCATGTTTGCACGCGATAAAAAGCACTCCTTCTTGCGCATCTACGTGACCCACTGATCTGTTTTGCTGAACGATAGCTGCGATTTCTTCTCAAAGCCGTGCAACAGCCACAGACCGTCGCTAGGACCAGTCGGCAGAATCCAAACGGTAGAGGCTCAGTGCTTCGGCTCCGCGGCTTGCTCTGCATTCTCAAAATCAGGCAGTTCTTTTCCTGGCGCGCGCCGGCGAAGGCAATCGAAGCAAAGATAGTTCATGCCGAGGGGAGGGGGTACGACTTTCCGGTTCATGGGCTGGATCATGAAGAGGAGTGTTTCAAGCAGAGACCGGGCATGAAGGCCACATGTCTTCATAACGCCAATACATCTCAGAAGCATCCTGCCAGATGCGCGAGCATGCGAGCAGCTCGAAACTAAGGCGCGCAGTTGCTCAGATGTGGTCAAGTCGTGTTGCTATAGCAAGGGGCTGCAGGATGCATGACTTTCGTGACGACTGGATGCTGCAGGGCTCCATGCGGCTGCCGTGGGAGGACCAGAACGGGCGTCGAACGCGGCCTGGCTGTGAGGATGCCGAGCGAAAGAACTGACGGCTTACGGCTGCAGGTGGTCTTCCATGAAAGCTTCACTCCGCCAGCCTATGCGAGCAGTTGCGGGCGGCAAGAAGAGTCGGAGGTGAAGGCCACCCTTCAGGCAATTCAGATGCATGGAAGTTGAATTCCTGCCAGCTTTCTCTGAGAGGCTTGCCCTGGTCCGTGTGCAGCTTCGATTCGATGAAGTCAAAGGTCGGGGACAGGCTCTGTGCACAGGAGGGTCGTACGTGAAGTGCACTCGGACCTCAAATGCCTGCTGACCCGCTGCATCCCGCTGCTTGCTGTGTAGCCACGTGGAGCCAAGCCGAGTACCCTTGACAGATAGCGTGTAGTATACAGTCACCGCTGCTGCCATGCTTCTCACGTGTGCCTTGGTGGCAGGGACTTCGAGAGAGAAGGGGAGCCATGGGATGCCAGGGGAGCCATCGTCTGGTTGGCTTTGGGTTTGGAAGGCCTTAGACTCTATCGAACACTTGGAGGTACAGAGACGCAGCCGGTCCAGGCAACGCCATCCTTCTCGGACTCTGAGGCCGCGATTTCCAAGCCAAGCCAACAGCAGTCTCTTTTTTTCCTTCCTCCACTCCGAGGGAAAGGGTGCCGTCTCTGTACTTTTGTTTCGCGCGCTGCCTGCTTTTGCTTGATCGTCGGTGTCTTGTTTCCTTGCCGCATTGCACTCATGCATCGAGATCGTGACCGTCATCCTCATAATCATCGTCTTCTTCCCCGTCACTACCAGGAACGTCATCATCACTAGAGCTGAAGAGCACCAAAAACAGAAGGCTGAAGACCTTTCGACACCAAAACAGAAAATCCAAAACTCTCAAATGCTTGAGGCCCCAAAACATCTTCAACTTTAAGACCCTAAATCAAAGCATGAAGAAGCCTGCAACTAAATATCGGAAGCATCGTTTTTTACCCATGGTATCCATCAGCCTCACGAGCCTCCGCAAATTCTTGCAGCTGAAACACACCCGAGACTACCAAACCCGAGCGTCGTAGCGTGCCTCAAGCCCGAGACAACGTCAACTCTCACATGAACCTTCTAAGAACCACACCGAAAGACATGGACTTATGAATGAACCCAGAGACAGGCCCATACTTCGCTACAAAATCCCCACACAACACCACCCATGAAGTGCGGTCAGTAGTGTTCTTTATGCCCCATTTCCATTGGACATCACCCCTGCAAACTGACGTCTTATCCCTCGCGCGAGAAACCGGGGAGCAAGAACAACAGCAAGAGGAAATGCGCAAATTCTCGAAGGCTCAGCGCCTTCCTCACAGGCTGGATCCCAAGACGATTGTGCTCCTTCCTAGCAGCCAAAGCCACTAGGTGGGACTGAATGTCAACAGCTCGATGCAAGGATGGCGTCACAAGGTTCAACTTGCTAAAAAAGGCTTGTTTGAATGTAGCTTTCGTCGTTACCTTCAGTCATCCATTCACGACGCTACGACCGTTTTCACGAGAAACCTCCTTTAGGAACTCACACCACAAGTCGTAGTTGTCAAAGTTGCGGGCATCGTCAAGCCTGTACCCGGCACTTTTGACAGAGAGGGCCCTGTCATCTTGACGCGCAGTCACCATAAATCTGTAAGGGCCCAGATGTACGTCTCAAAGCCCACACAACTGCATACGGGCTGCGAGGTGTGATCATTTCCAGGCAACTAACAAGCTTCCTCAAACTGACCGGGGATAACAACTGCTGCCGCGGAAGTTCGCAACAGGCGCCATCTCTCATGAAACACTGGACCGTCGACAACTTCTGCTTCTACGGCAAAGCGTTCGCCGTCAGTTGGAAAGCTGACCAAAGAGTCGTGATTTACGTGACTATCCTGTGGCTCATCGGGCACCAAGAAGATGCCGGTGAACCATGTAGGCAGACGTTCAGAACCTCTTCGAGGTCGAATTGCTTCATATAACAAACATTCCAAAAACAAGTGTTGATGATTTTCGATTGCGGCGCTGCAAGAACATTCGTCAGTGTCTGTGAGACCTGACGCTTTCAATCGCTGCCCTGTATAGATTGCACCGGTAAGAATTGTCTCCAAAGCAGCCTTGGTGTAGAGATGGTTTTTCGAAAGGAGCTGCGGGGAAGGCTCGGGTTTAGTAGTCCAAAGTTGGAGTCTGTGCGAAAATCGTTGTCGAACAGAGAACCTGGTAAGGAACAGCTCCACGTCTGGAATGTTCGCATCGATGTTGCAGTCATGTCGTTTGGCTGCCTTCTTGAGCAAATATTTGCGAATGGCTGTGTCCAAAAAGTCTCGGAAGCCTTGGTTGCTGCCTTCACATAGACACATCTTGTCCCATGAAGTATGAAGTTCATTCGAGGATGAAGGAACTGGCATTGGCAATGACAAGTGTGAGCTCATTGCAAGTTCTTGTTTACGTGTTTGCATATCTTGTGTAAACCAACAGAACCTGTAAATACCTTCCATGTAAGAGCTGATCATGTCAAACATGTCATTTGGATCTGTCACGATACTGTGCCGTCATCTTTAGCAAAGAACCTCGGAGCCTATTCATTCAGTGCGGAGCCACCGAAGAACCGTGGATTTACTTGCATTGGTCGATTGTTGCAACTTGTGTTTCTACTCGCTGATAGCATCCTGCCTCAACTTGCATTCCTGATCGTCTACGTGTTGAACCACTAAATTGTAAGCCTCATCGCCAGAGACGGCTAATTCTTCCGGGGTTGCACGTTGAAACGACAGTGTAATGCCGAGCTTGGCAGCAAGCCTGGAAGCATTCCGCAACGTGGCATGTAGCTCGTTAAGCGACTGTTGCGAAGACACGGGAAACCAAGGGTTTGCTTTTTTCCGCAGTGCATGATTTTTTTAGCACGTTTGCAAGGGTTGATTGGTAATCGGGCCTAGCTGACAGAATCGCCTTGAAGGAAGGAAGGCTTCCATGCGTGGCCGGGAGGGACTGCCCGGAAATCTTATTCATGCACTTAGTTGCCGTCTCACACGCAATGGTCCACAAGGCTTTGCATCACAGGATTCAGCCGCTTGAATTAAACTTGAGATGGCGCTTGGAAGAATCGGTTGAACCAAGACATCTGTGTCTACCCATTGCTGTTGCGACATGGACGGTGCTAGTGTCAATTCAACGAAACAGGGACAATGGTTGGGGAGCCTTGACTGCGGCAACACACCTGATGACGAAAACAAAAGCAATAAGTGTTTATTGAACCGGAAGAAGTCGATTCTTGAGTTGCCTTCGTCATCAGCATCGAACGTGTGCTCAGGCTGCTTTCCTAGCAACTTCTGCCGTTCAGCATGCGCATCAAACCACTCATCAGTGATAAACGCATGCAATGTGGCAGAGTTGTCTTCAGGTTTGCTTTGAAAGTCGCCGCCAGCAGCATAACAAAATATTGATTCCACTAATTCGTTCCTTGCGAGTAATCCCGTAGGATTCCTCACACAACACCCAAGGGCTTGAGCTAAGTAGGCTACCCCTTGCAG